GTCATTAGGTCGAGGCAACTGGAGGTGGGAGCGAGTGCATAGGCCGGTGAAGTCGAATTCACATGCCACAAGCTTGAAAGATGGTGTGTGATCCCGCAAAGGCCACGTGGGTCCTTGATCGACGGCAGGTCTCCTTCAAGTCTGTGAAGTCAGCCGCGTCCTAGTATGAGTCAGATAAAAGCTAAAACTCATAACTGTTTGTGTGGAACCACTTCCGGTGAATCAAATTGTCTGCTCCAAGCTACTCTGGTCTAACCCCTTTGTTCGTAAGGATTTAAAAAGTATAACCAAATATATATGTGGCTCCCTAGCCATCATCAGCTAGCTATACCCAAGTTCCACCCGACTATCCAACCTGATATCTATTGACCAGAAGTCTAAGGCTCTAAGCATTAAGCCACGGGCTCACTGTCTTGCCGGAGATATTGAAATTCGTTGATTAACGTTCACCGATCGATAACGGAACTCACTTGTCCCGCTCCGCGTTGGGGCTCATTCTCGAGCCTTGCCAGCAGCCGCACAGCGACCAGTAGTCTAGACAGATACCGTTGCCAACAAAGACAGGAGAGACTGGATTGGCCATTCCTGGCTCATTAATCATAATCATTTTCATCAGCCAGTCAGCCAGACCCAGCCTCAACTAGCGCACCACAAGGAGTTCTGGTGACAAACGACCTATTTGCTTATATGACCTTGCGAAACCATGGTCTCGTCGGGGTGGAATGCTGTCAACGATTGGCATTCCTCTCTGCGGTCCTCCGTATATTCCGCTTCTCGTTTATGCCAACGTGGTCTACTTAAAATGTCCAGTTACGGTAGGTCATTAACGCATTTGATAAATTCGCAGATGCAGCCTTTCAAGTAACACACGAACGTATGTGTACCGCGTGGGCCAAACACACTCTGCGTGCATCTTCGTTTGGCAGGTCAAACCACTGGGATGTAGTGGTGAAATTTAACCTAAAATGGGCGCTATGCATGTAAAGCCTGTTTTTACCACTAGAAAGGTGGGGACGACGCCAAACTTGGTGTTACATGCAGAAAACATTCAAGGCCAAGTCAATCATTTGTCCGCCTCTGTGCGCCAAATTTTGCGGAGTGGGCCGCATGAAATCCCGCCGGCCTCTTTCGATTGTTGCATCGTTA